TACACATACAGGCTTATCTCTGCGAACAAGTACATCCAACTCTCACCAATAGTAAAAGGTAATATCAGTCGTTCACCTTCGAAACACGGAATCTGATTTGCATTGGATTTCCATATCTGATAACATAACTGTTTGAATTCGAAACCCTTCTGTTTGAGGAAGGTTGCCACGAAAAACACGATAAACAAGTTTTTTTTTTCTTTCGGGCTTCAAGGTTAATAGCCTCTTTCAATTTCACAATTATTTTTCCTTAAGCATGTTTAATGAAGAACATTACGCACGTATTGAAGTGAAAACATCTCGTATTTCTTGTGAGAACGAGCGTATTATTAGTACGTTTTATCCTAATTGGAAACGGTAAGCCGAATGTGCCTTCATTTAAATTTCACGAAAAAAGTCTTGTTTTCAAAGACACTTGGGATGTTTACTTTGTTTCGATTTATTTAATTGTTGTAGTCTTTCCGTTAAGATCTGTAGTTGTACAACAGAACAATAACAACTATGAAAAGATTTCAATTATTCATGAAATTCGATAAGCTTAGTTGTTGGAAGTACGCTATCGTTAACTTGTAATAAAGAAATATTTTTTAGCCTAACGCTTTAATTATTGTTTCTTCCTGGGAAATATTTTTAAAAAAAGTAAGAAATGTAATATAGACATTTTTTTAAATTCTATACGTAATTTTTTAATGTCTTTTTTTTTTAAAGGACGTATTTGATATTGAATGAACTATCGTAAATAACGTTGTTCAGTTAGTATATAAAGTCAAGAGTTTGATTTTTGAACAAGTTGTATGATGCATTACAATATTACACCTGAAAAGCTGCGGTTTCTAGTCGAAATAGTTGGTTCTTGAGTCAGTTGTGACTTTCCCACTCAAGGTGTGGGGTTGCTTGCTCACGACAAGGTTAAAGGTTTATCAATACAAAATGATTGCTCCTGAATAAGTTGTGAGTTAACCATACAGCCAGAAAAACGTTTGACCCTGATTAAATGGCGAATTAACCAGCCAGAGAGATGCTTGATCCTGATTAAGTTGCGAGATAATCAGCCAGAGAGATGTTTGATCTTGATTAAGTTGCGAGATAATCAGCTAGAGAGATGTTTGATCTTGATTAAGTTGCGAGATAATCAGCCAGAGAGATGCTTGATCCTGATTAAGTTGGGAGAAAATCAGCCAGAGAGATGCTTGATCCTGATTAAGTTGGGAGATAATCAGCCAGAGAGATGCTTGATCCTGATTAAGTTGGGAGAAAATCAGCCAGAGAGATGTTTGATCCTGATTAAGTTGGGAGAAAATCAGCCAGAGAGATGCTTGATCCTGATTAAGTTGCGAGAAAATCAGCCAGAGAGATGCTTGATCCTGATTAAGTTGCGAGATAATCAGCCAGAGAGATGTTTGATCCTGATTAAGTTGCGAGTTAACCAGCCAGAGAGATGTTTGATCCTGATTAAGTTGCAAGTTAACCATGCAGCCAGAAAGATGTCTGATCCTGAAAAAAGTTGCGAGTTAACCTGCCAGAAAGATGTCTGATCCTAAGTAATATGTATAAATGAAACGTTGAGCTGATCAATTTGTTTCTGGAGTAAATTGTCGTTTACCCCTCCAGAAAAGTTAGCGGCAAACGCTTCTTCTATCTACGTTCGACTTAATTTGTCCTGTGAAACAACAACAAAACAGTTCCAACCGCAATGGACAAATTGACGAAGAATATGAAGAAAAACATATCAGCAGTTAATTTCTAGGTCCATTTTTTTTCCCAATAATTCACTGGCTTACGGCGTTTAAACCTTAACCTATAAACTTTTAAGTTAAATAGGTTTATCTTTAGCATTTAAAAGTGTAAAATGTTTACAGTATATGAGCAAATTTCGTAATTAAGTTATCGTCATTAATTTTTCTAACATAATTTACGTGAAGGAACACTAGGTGAATGGGCAGAGAGATATATATATATGCTTTTGGATGGCTAATGTTTGGTTTGTTTTAAATTTCGCGCAAAGCTACACGAGGGCTATCTGCACTAGCCGTCCCCAATTTAGCTGTGTAAGACTAAATAGAAGGCAGCTAGTTAATACCACCCACCGCCAAATCTTAGGCTACTCTTTTACCAATGAATAGTGGGACTGATCGTCACATTATAACGCTCCCATGTTCAGTGTGATGGGGATTCGAGTGATTTTTAAATTACGTTGAAGTCTATTGGAAGTTTTTTTTAGCAGCCATCAGATTTAAAATCAACGTATTTTGATAATAAATTCGAATATAATTGGTATGTTACAGCCATACTAATATAATTGGTTTGTTACAGCCATAATAATATAATTGGTTTACCAATTATATTAGTATGGCTGTAACATGTTACAGCCATACTAATATAATTGGTTTGTTATAGCCATACTAATATAATTGGTTTGTTATAGCCATAATAATATAATTGGTTTGTTACAGCCATACTAAAATTTACTTTTTTGTCTCTAATAATTTAACTTTTCTTCTTTTTTTTTGAAAAACTGAACGATTTTTTTTAATCTTGTACCTAGCTATTGATGTATACCAATACAAACACTGCATAGGTAGAAACGTTTATAAAATAATTCATAATGTTTAATTGTCTAAACAGAACAGGCGTTATCTGAGTCAAGAGAGCGAGTGCGAAAATTGAAATTTTTCACAGATCGTGGGTCACGTGACAACAAATCTGAAGTATAATCATTTTTTAAAAGGTTTCTTTTGAAATAAAGGAATTAAAACTTGGATAACACAAAACTTCCAATCATAACACATATTATAATGTTGATTTCATTCACTTGCATTGATAGTAAAGGTGTTTAAATTTTGAATGCATCTCAGTGACCATGGCCAGGTGGTTAAGGCACTCGACTCGCAATCTGAGGGTCGCGGGTTCGAATCCCCGTCACACCAAACATGCTCGCCCTGTCAGCCGTAGGGGCGTTATAATGTGACGGTCAATCCCACTATTCGTTGGTAAAAGAGTAGCCCAAGAGTTGGCGGTGGGTGGTGATGACTAGCTGCCTTCCCTCTAGTCTTACACTGCTAAATTAGGGACGGCTAGCGCAGATAGCCCTCGTGTAGCTTTGCGCGAAATTCAAAAACAAACAAACAAACAATCTCAGTGACTTGCGCAGAAAAGTGTCTAAAGGGGTACCCGGGATGGAATGGTTAAAACCGTTTTTACTCCCCAAGTTTTTGACTACGTTGCAGTACATGTAATCAGATTTACTAGGTT